TGAAAAAAAAATAAAATGCTATATAGCAAAGAACAAAAGTAATCTTAAATTATACATACACATGTAGAAGCTTAATCTGTACGTAGAATTAGCTGCTTGTAATGCTTACTGAGTCATTCAGGATTTTACTCATAACACTTAAAGTATTGCAACTTGATGCTCTGATTTACTTTTTAGTCCTTTACCTTGCGAAGTGCTGAGAGAGTTCTTCCCTTTTTATTCTCTAAGTTTAGCTCTCTGCACATTTGATTATAAGAATTTGCTTTGTCTCCTTGACCTGTGCTTTGTAATCTGTTCAGCTCTTTTATTTCAACATCTCTGCAGCTTGAACTTCATTACCATTGTTTCATAAGGTACTTCCTGAACTATTTCAGTGTCAGCCAACTTCTCTTGATACAGTGGCTCTATTCCTTCCTTCTGATGGTTTCTGGATCATTCAAGATTATGCCTATACAGTCTTAGTCTTGTAATTCAAGGCTTGAATTTCTTTTTCAGTTCTTTCAATTCAAGAAATGTTAAACAAGTTCTTCCCTTTTTATTCTCCAATTTTAATTCTTTGCGCATTCTGTTGTACTTCGTCCTCTGAAGCTGTGCTTTGAAATCTTCTGTTCAGCTCTTTTATTTCTGAATTAATTTATCACCTTTGTTTTGGCTTCTTACTGCTGTACTGCAATCTTCAGAGGCTCTTTCTCATCCATTTTAGTCTGTTCTTCCTCTTCTATATCTGTAATGACCTTTTTTTGCTCTTTCCATAATTGACTGCCCAGTGGATTTTCAGAGGCAATAAATTACAAAGGAGGAGATTGCCCATCTTTCTTGCGTGGGGCAACTGGTTGATTTGAACCAATTACCTTTGGGTTGGCAGTACAACTCCTTACCACTGAACCACTAGAGCTCTTTACAGAACATAGATGATGTGGCTGTTGTATACGATCCAGTTGGAACCAATTCATAGCTGACCTTCCATTGGGTTTTTAGAGGCTATAAATCATCCAGGAGGAGATAGCCTATCTTTCTCCTGTGGAGCATCTGCGTTTGAAACAGTATGCCTATAGACCATGTTGTTGTTTTTGTGTATTATAGAGTCAGAACCAACCCATAGCTGACCCTCTGGCAGGTTTTCAGAGGTCGTTAATTGCACAGGAGGAGATTGTCCATCCTTTTCCCGCAGAGCAGCTCTTGGCCTCGAACTGTGTGCCTTTGGGATTGTGGCGCAGCTTCTTGTCACTAGGCCACCAGAGCTCCCTAAGAACATAGATAATATACATAGTGGGTTTTAAATGTCACATACCTGTATTTGTCAAGGGCACTTAAGCTCTCAATTTTTAAATTAGAAAGGAAGATTATGTAACTGAAACCCAGTTACAAATTGCAAATGCTATACATAGCAGTTGTTCTGGTTTCTTGGCAGTAATCTTTATAGAAACCTCTCCAGCTTTTTTCCCATGTTACCTCTGTGTGAGTTTGAACTGCCCAGTTTTAGTAGCTGAGTGCAGATTGTGCCACCCAAAGAGCCTGTGCTATTTAACTAGTTGAGGAAGATCGGTTAAAAATAGTTGAATACAAAATTCTAAACTTTTAAGTTTTTTTGTAAATTGTATGGTATTTTACAGAACAGATTGGTACTTCATTCAACCAATCATACATATTTTATGACATTTATTACAGTCCCCACAATCTATGAATTATATAAATAATTCATTATTGGGACATTTCAGGAGAAATGTTTTAATTTGGAGTTAAGTTTTCATTACCACGCAAATTACATGGCACTTTATAATTAAAATTTTATGATCTAAAGTTGTGAGGGAGAATTCACCAGCATTTCCTCTGGAGAAAGAGGAGTGTTCTTCTCCAGGTAAGATTTACAGCCTCACAAGTCTGATGAAAGGTTGCTGGGAACAGACTCAAAAGTAGTAATTTAGAGTTTTCTAGTTTGAAAATTGTGAGAAAGAAAATATATATAGATTAATTAAAAATTATAGTTTGTTTTCCCTTGTGTCCCCTTGCCCTCTTTCCCAGGAATTTTACACATTTTTTAATGCATTGATTATTTTAATATAGGTGGTTTTATGGTAAAAATTTCATCCCAGAAGGAAGGATATTATCTTGTGAGACAGTTTATTTAATTTTTTATATCAAATATAGCAGATATATTTTTGGGTTATAACATTAAAATATTGAATAACTTGAAAACTGCTTACTTTTTATTTTATATTCAATATGGAAATTTATTCCCAGAGTGTAGTTTTTCTGATGCAAAATTGGAATGCTTGTGTAGTCACAACAGCTGTCCCCACACCATGTGGTATCTTCCATTACTTTACCATAGAGATGAATTTTTGGCCCAGTGTTTCAGTAATATTGGACACATATGGTTTTAAGTGGCAAAGCAGTATGCTTATGCATTCATTTGACTTTCACAGCTACAGTTGGCTCCAGATTAGAACAGGGAGAATACATTCACACCATGGCCACCCTCATGGCTGCTGTAGGAGCTGGATCACAGTAGGCTCTGTTGCTTCTAAAGACACAACTAACTATTGCTGAGGAATTACACATTCACGAAAGTGCCTTACAGCTGTAGGAGAGAGAATAATGACTTGCTAAAAGGATTCTCTCAGAGACTTCAGATTCTGGTATTAGTGCTTATTGATCTAGGGTTTTTTTAATATTAATAATAAAAAAAACAGAGCTATAAAGTAACTATGAAAAGAATGGAAAGCTAGCCATAACAATAGGAAATCCAAATGTTTGAGTTAAATCATTTTCTTAGTAAAAAAAAAAAGGACACTGTGCTTAGCCTCATTACTAACAACAAGTAAAACTAAATTGGCTTTTAATTTTAATGCCCATTGTTTATGTTTGTGGCAATTTATTGAAAATAAAAATTATTTTAGATAACTAGATTTCTATGGGAAATGTTTTGTGTTTGTTATATTTTTTTTTACAATTTTGTTCATTCCAGAAGTGTTTGTTGTAATCAATGCAGAAATAAGATTATCTGATTTACTGTGAAATTGCATTGATCATGCAATATGGTTTAAATGAATCCATTAATTCAATACAATGTATATGCAATTTTAACTTCTCACTATTCATGGTAAGATTTTATATTGTACACGTAATTCTATTTAAAGCTTGAATTTCTGAAACCAATTGGTATATTTATTAAAGTGTCAGCTTTTTAGCAATATTATTTTCATGATAATCAAATTGCATTCTTATCACTAACATCTATTTATTGTTTCTCTAACTAACATATAAATGAATGATACTTTCTTTTAACCTGAGTAAAGTAAAAACAAACAAAAAGAAAAAATCTCCGTGTAAATTTCTAAATCATCTGGCATGGGGAATTAGATTTCTGATATTCATTAAATATCAAAGAAATTCCGACCATACCCATTGCAGGCTCTTTTATATAAGTGAATTTATGCATGCATCCTACAGACTATACAGATGAATATGTTTGAGTCTTTCAGCTTTTAGTGGATACAAAGTAGAATGATTGATAAAATCCTCCCTACTATTGGCTATTATTTACTGACTCTTAAGTGGCAGGTTGTATTTATGCCAATTTATCTGCTTCAGGGAACATTCTTGATAGCAGAACAAAGTGAATAAAAGTAGTTTGCTTTGCAAATGAATGCAAATAGGAGAGCCTTTCGGAAAGCCCTTTAACAGGGGCAGTGCACTTTGATTATGAGTGAAGCTGCCATTTGGACATGGTGAAAAGAGCACGCTTGAACCATTGATTGGGGGAGACAGTAAAAAGTCAGGAAGGGCCCCGTTAAGCTTGCAGTGAGGCAGGCGGATGTCAGTGTGGTTAGAGCACAGTGGGAGAATGACAGGGAGGATTAGTGTCAGGGAGAAGCTTTGCTGTAGCTGTGGAGATAGTCCCTGGGGTCACTCACCTCTGACTGTTGTTCTGTGCTGATGGTTCTGTAATGCAAACTGCCTGATGTATGCCTGTTCATTATCGGAAATGGTGATTAGAAAAGGTATTTGTCTCAAAGGTTCCTTTCTTTTTCTCCTTCTTTCTAATTAAAGGAAAATAAGGTAGGCTGCCTCCATCTCTCTGCTGACTACCATTGTTTATACCAGAGTGGTTACTGCCTCTGCTTAGTGATAGGTTAGTGGTAAAATGTAATGTGAAATAATTGTAACATAGTCATTTGCTCTTTGGTCACAGTTACTTGATTTGCTCAGTTTTGGTTTTGATCAATGCTAAGTAAAATACAGAGAATTTCTTTTTCTAGCAGGATTTTTGCTTTTGAGATTTTGTAATTTTATTATCTAGCTTTTAATTTTGGTCAACTTTCAAGACATATCTTAAAAGGAAATATCTTGCATAAGTTTCATAGTATAAATCTTGGTGACAGGCAATTCTCATGTTTCTTCCAGCCCCAAGGTTTTTAAAATTCTAGCATATCACTATCAGCTATCAAGTTAAACTTCTTGAAGACATATTATTTTTATATATTATCTTTAACATTGTTTTAAAATTAAATACTATTGCATAGAGCAAATGAAAAATAGCTGCCTCAGTTCTGATTCTAATTCAGTGTGTTTAACTGTTCACATTCTCATCTATACTTGTAAAGTTTTCTTTTTTCCTTAACATACCATTTTTCTTAAAAACTGAAGGCTTTTTATATTATTATTAAATTCCTGAGCAGTGATACATGTGTTATTTCATGGGCTTTGGGACTGGTTCCTCACTTTAGAGTAAAACAATGTTTTTTGGATTTTTGTTACTATCTTCAAAACCTACTTTTACAACATTTTTGCTTTCTTTGTATACATAGGACAACAAATAAAGCTTTGCATTATAGTTAAATATAAACATAACCTTTATATAAACCATGAGATGTATTTTAATATTTAACAGTATTAAATTTTACCGAAATCAGATTGCCAATAATTTGGTTCAAGGAGTTATTATTATGTTTTAGTAAACATTTTCTGATTATCTTTCTTTTTTTTATGTTTTGCAGGTACCTGAGTGGACAGAGGAGGATCTCAGCCAACTGACAAGAAGTATGGTTAAGTTCCCAGGAGGGACTCCAGGTCGATGGGAAAAGATTGCCCATGAATTGGGTCGATCAGTGACAGATGTGAGTTCACTCAGATTTGCATTGTATGGGGAGTGACAAACAAGAGCAACAAGCAGACTATGTAGAAGGCAGACATAGATGGGTCAGACATTATCTTTGGAGAAAGGCTACAATCCTTGTAGGACCTGGAAGTGAACCATTAACGAAATAAGCAAGAAGCAGATGTCAGCTAGTCCCCTGGCCTGCAATTAACAGCTGTAACTGATCAGAGTAGAGGGGATCCTAGTGCTTAGAGACTTAAGCTACTGTAACCTAATGACAGAAAAACAATGCTAGTTTTTGTATTTTATAATGATGCCTGTAACCGTGTAAAAAATAGTTCTCAGACTGATCAGAGTTAGACAAGTTTTATTTCAGCTGGATCTTTTTAACATTGAAGTACAGATTACAGTTGGTATTTAGACAGGTGGTTTGCATTAATTAAATGAGCAGTATTTCTATAATGCAAATAGAATATTTGAATTTTTATTTCAAGGCTCACCATCCATTTTGACAAGTTAGTTAACCAAGAGAGAAAAACAAACAAGTGTGTATATGTGTGTGTGTGTGTGTGTGTGTGTGTGTGTAAAGACATACAAAGTTAATGATCATACTTAACATACAAAAATTTTTATATGCAAAGGTTTTGGCTCAGCATTTTAGATGCATTTATTAAGGAAACTTGGGCTGAGTATTTTTTTAAAAGCACACAATACAGTGCTTAACTAGTACTATATATCCAGCTAATATTTAAATTCAAGAACATGTTTATTGTAATCACTATTACTAACAAGATACAATTAATAATTAA